CCCGTGACCTCCCTCGGCCTCCTGAGGTGGGGGACCCTGGCTGCTGGTCCTCCTGGGGGGGGCCGTCTGAGGCCGGGCTGGGAACGCCGCCCCGCCCCCGGGTAAACAGGCGCTTCCGCACATTCTTTGCGCGCCCCGCCCCTTTCCTGCCCCTTCCCAGCCAGAGGAGGGTCCCTGCGCGATTCCCCCTTTCCTGCCCCGCAGCAGGCGGAGCCCGCACCTCGGCAGGAAGTAGGGGCTGAGCTGAGGCCAAGCTGAGTCGGAGGCCGAGTCCCCGCGGCTGCCCTGTCATTAGCGCGGGGCCAGCGGGACTGAGAGTAACCAGGCCAGAGCCCACTGGGGCATCTGTACCTGGTGACCAGGAAGGACCAGCTCCAGCCCTAGAACCTGGGCTTGGGGAGGGGACTTCAGGGACGTGACCTGTGCTGGACACCCTCTCCCTCACCTCCAGGGAGCCCCGCACGGACTCATTCCATGATGTCCCTGTCAGTGCGGCCACAGCGCCGCCTGCTCAGCGCCCGGGTCAGTAGGAGCCAGTCTTTCGCAGGTGTCCTCGGCAGCCACAAGCGAGGGCCCAGGTATGCAGTGACGGGTGGTTGGTTAATGATGTCAAGGGAGTTAGATGGGGTTGGGGCTGGGTGTGTAGGGAGGGTTGGGGGGCTCCTGTTCGACCCTTTCTGAGGAGCAGCTTCTTCTTAAGGAGCTTCCCAGTCTTCAGCCCACCGCCACCAGGGCCCCCACGGAAGGCCCCAGGGCTTTCCCGGGTATCCAGGATGTTTGCTGTGGCCCATCCAGCCCCGAAGGTGCCGCAGCCAGAGCGGCTGGACCTGGTGTACACTGCCCTTAAGCAGGGCCTGACGTAAGTAAGCAACTCTCTTGCCCACCTTTTATCCTAGGATCCCTTCCCAACCCCTCATCTTTGCCCCAGCCAATCACCCCCTGCTTACTGTTGGTACCCTTGGCAGCTTGAGTCTGAAAGGTAAGTTGACTTGTCACTTTTTTCCCAGGGCCTACTTGGAAGTGCACCAGCAGGAGCAAGAGAAGCTCCAGGGGCAGATAAAGGAATCCAAGAGGAATTCCAGGCTGGTGAGTGATGTTAGGGATGTCCTGGTCTATTGCCTTTTGTGTGGTGTGGGGGGCTGGGCAGGGCTATCCCTGTGTGAAATGTTTATTTTCTGGGATGACTGAGTCCTAGGTAGCACATCTCAGCTCCCTAATTTCCTTTGTAGGGCTTCCTGTATGACTTGGACAAGGTGAGTGGATATAGATTGGTATTGGAAGGGGTTAGCTCATGGGAAGGAAAAGGGCTTTGGGCCTCAGACCCCTCCTGACCCACCTCTCCCCAGCAAGTCAAGTCCATTGAACGCTTCCTGCGAAGACTGGAATTCCATGCCAGCAAGGTACTTTGTGCAGCATGCATGCAGAGGGATGGGGTAATAACATAAGGAGACTGGCGTGAGAGATTGGGGTTTGCTAGGCCCTGAATGAGCAACCCCAATGGTGAGTCCTAGTTCCCCTCTTACCATCCCACTCACCTTCCCAGATCGATGAGCTGTATGAAGCATACTGTGTCCAGCGGCGACTACGAGATGGCGCCTACAACATGATCCGTGCCTACAGTACAGGGTCTCAAGGGAGCCGAGAGGCCCGGGACAGCTTGGCTGAGGCCACTCGGAGTCATCGAGAGTACACAGAGGTCAGGGATGATTGCTATTGGCAGAAGCACAGGCTATAACAGGGCTGATGAGAGTGGACTTTTTCTTCATTCTCTCCTATTCATGCTTCTTCCTCTAGAGCATGTGTCTGCTGGAGAGCGAGCTGGAGGCACAGCTGGGCGAGTTTCATGTTCGGATGAAAGGTACTGAGTTGTAGGGGAGGAAGTGTGGTCAAGCACTACCAACGTGGCTCATCTATTTCTCCCCGTATTCTAGGGCTGGCTGGCTTCGCCAGGCTGTGTGTGGGTGATCAGTATGAGGTATGAGGATGTGCAAGGAAGGGCTAGGGTGAAAGGGTCAAAAGCCCTAGGGCTGCCTCATCCTGTCTGTTTCCCCAGATCTGCATGAAATATGGCCGTCAGCGCTGGAAACTACGGGGCCGCATTGAGGGTAGTGGGAAGCAAGTGTGGGACAGCGAAGAAACTGTCTTTCTTCCTCTGATCATGGAATTCTTGTCCATCAAGGTGATTTTTCTGCCTAGGTGCCCAGGACACTTTGATCCTGTGAACTCCATAACCTTGTGAATCCATTTTGACTCTTTTGACTCTGAGATCCTTACTCCTGTGACAACCCCCCGCCATGACTCTGTGGCCCTATGAATGTCTGGCTCCATGACCTTTATGACTCTGGATTTTCTCATGGTCTCTGTGGCCTTGAGAGCAATCTTTATAACTCCTGACCCTGTAACCTCTCCATGATCTTCTGACCTGTTGAATATTTGATCCTTTGAGCCCCTATAAGACTGCACTCTTGAGATCAATGGTCCTGCCAACATGGACCTCTATAAACCCCTTGCTCTCAGATCACTTCAAGCTTCCATGGCCCATGACTCTTAAGTACCCCCATCTTCATGACCTTCCAACAGTGTTTTGACCCAATGACCATCTTACACCTGCTATGCAAATCCAGACCTCTGATTACCCAAGGAGCTCATGGCCCTTGTACTCATGTGACACCACCATGTACTCTTGGCTATAGGTGACAGAACTGAAGGGTCTGGCCAACCATGTAGTTGTGGGCAGTGTCTCCTGTGAGACCAAGGACTTGTTCACCGCCCTACCCCAGGTTGTGGCTGTGGATATCAATGACCTTGGCACCATCAAGCTTAGCCTGGAAGTTACATGGAGGTTGGTGAGGCAGAAGGGTTTAGGGGCAGGGGCAGGAGCATTGTGGCAAACTAACAGGAGTGCCTTTCCCTTCCTAGCCCCTTTGACAAAGATGACCAGCCCTCAGCCACTTCTACTGTCAACAAAGCCTCCACCGTCACTAAACGTTTCTCCACCTACAGCCAGAGCCCACCAGACACACCTTCACTTCGGGAGCAAGCCTTCTATGTGAGTCATAGCCCAGCCCCAGGCCTCACTATCTCCCAGAGGATTTCTAGGGATTATCCTGAAATGCTCCAATGCTCCTCTCCCGCTCTCTCTCTCTCTCTCTCTCTCTCTCTCTCTCAGAACATGCTAAGACGGCAGGAAGAGCTGGAGAATGGGACGGCATGGTCCCTGTCATCCGAATCTTCAGATGATTCATCCAGCCCACAGCTCTCAGGGTCTGCCAGACATTCATCAATCCCCAGGCCCCTAGTGCAGCAGCCCGAGCCCCTGCCTATCCAGGTTGCCTTCTGTAGGACTGAGACTCCCACCTCTGAGCCTGTGAATGAACAGGGAGCCACAGCCCCACCCCTGGCCAATGGGCATGCTCCCTACAGCCGGACTCTGAGCCACATCAGTGAGGCTAGTGTGGATGCTGCCCTGGCTGAGGCTTCAGTGGAGGCTATGGGCTCAGAAAGCCTAGCCCAGGGTCATAGACCACCTACATATCCAGATCCCACCCATGGGGAGCATACTAGTCATGTTCCCCTTACCCTAGACAAGGGCCATTCTGCCACAGACCCCACCCTCAGTGTATCCAGTCCTGCCCTCACACATACAGATCCTACACCATCTGCATATCTGGATTTAGTTCATAAGGCCATAGATTCTGGCCCTTCTCAGCCACTAGGCCCCACCCACACTACCACAAACTCTACCTGTCGTGCCATAAGCCCTGTCAACAGTGCTCCAAACCCCACTTGCACTACTACAGGTTATACCCATAAGCCCCTGGACTCCACCTTCACCACTACAGGCCCTCTCCCCAGTAGTACAGGCCCAGCCAAGACCACCACTATCTCTACTCATACTACTTCAAGCCCCATTCATACCACTATAAGTTCCACTCATACTACCCCAAGTGCCAACCACACTATTGCAAGCCCCACCCCCCCTACTACCCCGAGCCCCATGCCCACCCTCCCTAACCCAAGCCCTACCCACACCGTCCCAAGTCCCATCCACACTACTCCAAGCCCTACACAAAACACAAGTTCCACCCATACTACTTCAAGTCCCACTCCTGCAACCACAAGCCTCACCTACAAAGCCAAGATATCAACTCACACCACTACAAGGCCTACCCTCAATGCTATGGGCCCAGTCCAGACCACTACAAGCTCCACCCTTACAAATGTAAGCCTTTTCTCTTCTCAAGACCATGCTATACACCCTAACCCCTCTACAGGCCCCA